ACACACGACGACGACGACGCACGCACGCATTCATGTGCACGCACGCACGTACGCACGCGCGCACGCGCGCGTGTGTGCGCGCCCCACCCCCATCCCATCTCCCATCCTCAACCCCCACTACTCACTCTCTGACCCTCGCTCATAAATACACTCGCACGTGCAAATGTTTGCGTCAATGCACGCTCGCACAGACTGGCACAGGTGCCCTGTATCTTCGCACCTGCTCACGTTGGTCGCTGCTGCTGCTGCTGCTTTGTGCTGCCTGCTTGAGAGACACGCTCCGCACTCGACCGCTCCCGGCAGTGCATACCGCTTGCAGCGCCTTTGCCGCCTGCTGCTGGCTGTGAGCTCTGGATTTAAGCTGCGCCACAGCAGCCAGGGCATCAACAGCACCCTCCTCTTCAGCAACGCGCCGCGCCAGCTCCGGCCCCGCGCAGGCGACTGCCGCCAGGGCCAACACCCCATTGATGCCCAAGCCAGGCCCGGCCATTGCGGCCAGCCCGCGCAGCACCCCGTCCTCGTCAGCGATCCGCCGCGCCAGATCACCGCCCGCAAGCGCGTTGCTGCAAAGGGCGCCGGCGGCGCCGAGCCCCAAAAGGTCGATGTGCGCAACCGCCGCTGCGAGGATTTTAAACAATCCACGTGCGTCGGCCGTGCGGCGCGCCAGGTCAGCACTTGGGGAGATGATCCAATTCAGCAGCCCCAGGGCGTGGAGGCGTGCGGGGTCGCCTCCCCTGAGCGCCGCCCACAGGGCGTCCATCAGACCATCATCGCCCCCCAAGCGCAGCGCAAGCGCGGTGTTGTGCTGCGCAACGCAGGCAAAATCCAGCGTCAACGTCGCAGCGGGGCTGGCTTCATTGCCGCCGCATATGACCGCGGTCAGCCTGCGAGTCGCGCCGTCCTCAAGCACTACGCGTCGCGCCAGGTCGGGCCCTGCGCGGGCGATCTCCACCAAGGCCGCCCCTGCGAGCTGGCCATGGTCGCCGCCGCTCGAGAGCAGTCGCAAAATGCCGCTCAGCACGCCATCGGTGCCTGCCGCGAGCCGCGCGACGTCGGCGCTTTGGGCGCACGCCGTCGCCAGCACGCGCGCCGCGGCGGGCCAGGCGATGCCGTGACTTGTGCGTAGCGCGGCGGCGAGTTTTGCCGACACGCCTTCCGTGCCTATCACGCGCTGTGTGAGACCCTCGCCGCCCAGACATATTATGGTGCAGAGCGTCTGCGCCGCAAACCTAGCTGCCGCGCTGCTGCGCCCGGCGGCGCTCGCGTGGCCAGCGATGGTGCAGCCGGCGCCCAGCTGTACCATGGTGGCCAGAGCGCTCAGCGCCCCCTCCTCCGCGACCACGCGCTGAGCCACGGCGTCACCGCCCGCAATGCAGACCATATTGAGCGCCGCCGCGGCGTCCTCAGCGCCGCCGCCGCGCATCGCCGCGACGAGCGCGCGCACCGCACCCTGGTGTTCTGCCAGGCGAGGCGCGTGCGGCTGCCCAGCTTTTGCAAGCGCGGCCAGCAGCTTGGCTGCATCTATGACGACGCCGGCGTCGCAGCTGCTCAGCGCCGCCACCGCAGCAGCCACAGCGTCGTCGCTCTCCAACGCCTCCAGCACGCAATGCCAGGTCGACTGCCTGGCGCAGAGCGTGGCGAGCGCCGCCAGCGCCGCCGCCGCCGCATCCCCGCACCCCTGGTCGCCGCCGCCGGCCCGCAGCGCGCCTGAGAGGGCGCTCAGGGCGGCGCGCGCCGCCGGCGTCCCTGGGCCGCGGGCGGCGGCCTGCGCCTGGCGCAGGGCTGCTGACCTCTGGAAGGCGACCGCACGGGCGCCGCTGGGCTGTACATCCTGCGGAAGGCGCGCAGGCACGTGCGCTGGGTGTCAACACAGCAGCTACAGCAAGTGCTGGTGCATGGCTGCCGCATGAGGGTGCCGCAGGATCGATTGATAAAGGGCGCATGCTCTAGTGAGGCGACGTGTCCGCTCATCCGCGCGCGGGCGCGCGCGCCCTGACGCGAGTACCATACACCGCACCTGCACATAGCACGATACATTGCCCTTTCTGCACGTGCAATTTGAGTTGCGTAGACTTGCGCGGCATCTCAGCTTTGTCTGATCAAGTCCAAGTCAATCTCGACAATGATCTACGATGGGGGCGCGATCACGTAGATGCCCGCTTGCTGCATATGATATCTTGACGCTTCTATGATCATCTTTCAAAGCACTTTGAGGTACGGTATTCCTGAGCATACCGTAATCTGAAGGGTTCAAGACCGGCAACAGCGGCTCGCTGACAATGTCATCAGTTGGCGCTTGGTGGTCGAGTTTGCCAGTGATGGTCAGCATGGCCGCCGATTGTTGTGGTGGTCCGCAGCAACATCGCACCATCAAAAATTACTTGAAAAATTTCCAGTTGCTGAGAAATGTGGAGCAGCAAGCCAGGCCCGTCGGACGCCTCCGGAACAAAGACTGCTGCATCCGGTTCGTGTTGCACATCATTCGGGACGGCTGTGGGGATGTGTCTACCGTAGCTAATGAGCTTTCGCGCCGCTGCCATGATACGCGAGACACCCTGTGACCCTGACAGCAGTGCAGTATAAACGGGTCAGGCGTGCACGCACAGCGGCTCGCGTCTGGGCCTGTCGTATGGCAGGCATGAGCATGACTTTGCAGCGGAAGCTGCTGCTGTGGTTCCATTGGGGTGCTGCGTGAAGCGCTGCGCCGCTTGTTCATCTGTGCTCTGCGCCGCTCAATACCCGGGTCTGGTAATCAGGTCGTCTCGACCAAGTCAAATTTTTGTTCGACTTCATCAACTCAAACTTGGATGGTCATGCCCAAGTCAAGCTTGTGTGACCGAGCCGAACATGTGACCTTGCACAAAGGCCTCCCTTAACACTGTTATCATCCTCACGCGCACCTGATTGGGCTGATTGGCACGGTACATGAATGTGCATGGGACAACACGCAGTTTGTAATCAGCAGCAATACGCCGTAACATGAAGCACCACACTTGGAGAGCTGACAGGCACCTGGTCAGGATTAGGATTGCAAATGTTACAAGATGTTGCGATCGCCCGCTCCTGGAGCCATCCAGGCTCATGCGATATGACTACGTTGCATCAGCATTGTGTGACTGGGATTCAAGCAGCCACCGTTCGCCGTTCAAAGCCGGGTGTTGAGCAAAAGGCAAACTATCTGGGGGTGAGAAAGGCTGTACAGATCTGGGACCAGATAGCAGTCAGATAGCATTGCATGAGCGCACCAGCCTGGATATCGAAGGCGGGTGGGAAGACGTGTCAGCACAGATTCAAAGCAGGCCCGCACCCTCACAATATCCAGCCCGGGCTTTGCCCCTCACGCTGAGAGCAACGCCCTAATCGCCCATCTCTGCCGCCACCATCAGCCCCTCCACCACCCGCGCCAGCTGCACGGCCTCGCACTGCTGGCGGTGCGCCATGCGCACCCAGTGGTGGCGGCAGCACGCGTCACCGCAGTACATGACGCCTGTGGTGCGGCCGCAGCCGGCGCAGCGCCGCAGCTGCGCGCCATCTGCCGGCGTCTTGCCGCACACGGCACAGGCGCCGCTCGGGCTGGGACCGCTCTGGCTGTGTCTGCTGTGGCGCACCTGCAAGGCGATTTTGGTGAAACTGGTACTTCTTGGTCCCAACGCCTTGCGATGCTGGTCCACGCCACACACGAGCGTGATCATTCACATGCACGCATACATCCAACCTCGACCCATGCACATGTGTGTGCATGCATGCATGAATGCACCTGCACCCGCACCGACACCCGCTCCTGCGTGCATGTGGGCCCACCCACTCACTCACTCACCCACTCACCCACCCACC